CATGACCGATTTTTTCGAGAATTCTTTACTGATACCATTTCTGTAAATCGTTAGACTTATTTAACTATTATGTCTCGTGGTGAGGATGGAAGAAGAAAGAAAATTCTTATACAAGTGCAAATGAGCAACTGATCTTACACACATTTATCCGAAATTAGCGAACATAATAAAAAATAATAAGGAAAAAGAAGAAAAGCTTTAATTTTTAAAACTTTTAACTCAGACAAATATTTTCGTACAACTTTTATCTCTTTCAAAAAGCAAAAAAAAACATATTTAACTTTTTCTCTTATCAAATTGTTTCAGTCTTTTCGCAATTTGTTGATTGTTATCCTATACTGCCTGAAATCGTATTACCACTTGATTGACATAGAATAACCAACATTTGGAATAGATTCATTATCACAGATACAAATACTTTGAAACTGATTTTCTTGCTATTGTGAGGATAAATTATCGATTGACTGAAAAAATTTGAGAGAATTTGATGCTTTATTTATTTGAAACAAAGTTCAAATTATAAAAATTATTCAGTATCGCTTTTCACTTTTGAAGATTATATTTTACTTAGTAGCATTTAATCAATAACTTTACTTACTTTACCTATACGTGAACTTAAACGTGTTGCAGATAGGTGATTATTGTGCATGAATTAAAAACGAATGAAATTCAGCTAAAAAACTTGACTTATACAAGTTTACTTCTGCAAAACGGTAAAAAGTTTTGCGATAAAACTGAAGCACTAGTATCTCCAACTAATTTACCTATAAGATTAAACAGAAAAATGATTGCAACAAGTTGGATCTAAATGGATAAAATATTAAAATATTACAATTAATTGATTTATGTGACAAAAGATCATAGTTCTATACATAACCGTGCTGACATTTGTGTTAAAACTGATAGAATCGGTGTACACATGTGCACATATTTTCTCGATAAAGATTTATCGCATCAGCGGATTGTTTCTGCATTTCATCTCCTGACGGTGAAATTACACTCTAAGAACGACATGACATCATTGGTCATTCGAAAAGAGGGTAACTAGTTTCTTCATAAACTATTCTGTGATTAAATAGAGTCGAAGTGAAACCAATCACTTAACCTTCATAGATTAACATAAAAGGGTGTTTTCTCATCTGTTGAAATTTTGGATTATATTTTCTGTCATTCTTTCATACTACTTTAATCTTAAATTCAGTTTTGCTCAAAGATTTTTTTATTTGCGGTTATTTAAGAAAATAAATTAAAAATTTCCAAGTGGAGTATCAATCGTTCTGTTCAACTACATTGATCTTCCCCTTTGTTTCAAAACTCATAGGAGAGAAAGAAAAAAGTTTTTAAGAAATTTTTTCATTTTTATTTAATAAATAGAAAAAATTGTTCATAAACATGAAGAAATATAATTTATGTGATAAAGTACTACGTCTATTTTCAATTTTCTTTTGTTTTAATTATCAATTTCTTCTATGGCATAAATCAAATGTGTTTTTTTAATTCTACCTGATTCAAATTCTTCTCAATCTCTTAAATTCTAACGAGAAACATGATTATTAATTTAATTCTCTTGATGGCTATTTGTTATATTCAACTGTAATCTGGTTATTTGTTTCTAGCACCTATTTGGACTAGTATTCAAGCACCAACATGAGATTTAAAAAGCAAAAAAAGCAGTAAATGCTTTCTTATAATTTCCAAAAATGTTTGAAGAGTATCCACAATTTGCGAAAGGTATTCAACTGCAGGCTGAAAAAAAATTAAATAATTTGTATTTTTCTCTTTCGAAAGAAAATTAAAGGAAAATTAGAGGAAAAAAACCACTCAAATTTATGAAAATATTTTGATGTCTAAAAATGGAATGCTATCTCAATTTTAACAAATGAAAATTTGTTGAAATTTTTTTTTTCATTTCACTTTTCTCTGTTAAAAAATTATTGAAAATAGTTCCCGCCGAAATAATGTCTTCCCATTTGCTGTGCCATCAATAGAAAATTTCTCTCTTTGATGTGTCAATGTCCTCAACTACTTCACAAATCTTTCCCATTTTTCTCCCATCTGCTTCTCTCTGTTTTGAATTTTAAATTACAATTTGCTTCCCATTAATGTCACTGAGCAAAAATTGTCATAATATTTTACCTTAAATCATCACCATCAATCTCCAAAACATTTATCCACTACTATGATTTGACATCTCTTATTACAAGATAATATTCCAAGGAAGAAGCTGATATCAGATATTTATTTAGAAATTCGTTCTCTTTTCATGTTTCTTTTTTTCTTCGTACTACAATAACAACTTTTATCTTACTATATGGTTAGGTATATAGGCTTCAATTGATATCCGATTGTTATATTTATGAGCAGTGTGATGGCAGAATTGCAATTTCTCTTCGATGAGAAAAGGAAAAAGAGGTTCACACATCACATCAATGAAATGTTTTAAACATGGATCATTTCTTGATTTATGAAAAGTTTCCGTGATGAAAAAAGTAGTGTGAGAAAATCATTTTGTGTATAACAATAGAGCATCTGGAAATTTCTAATTAAGTAAGCGTCACTGAAACCAATATTTCAAAGCTCGGTGATGACGAACAACGCAAAAAATATGTTGATTATCAGTTATGCAAACATTTTTTTAAATATCTTTTTTACAGTCTCTTTATTTATCAGAAAATATGAAAATTATGAAAATTAAAAATATTTTTAAAAAAAATCATCAATAACGATATGTCAGAATTTCACAATTGTGTGCTATTGGTATTTTTTTAAAACATTCAATACATCTGTTTCAATTTCCCCAATCAGTTAGCTGAAAATGATATTTTTGTTAGCGGAAAGTTTTAATTCGCTTTTATCCATTTTTGAGAAACATAACTAATGAACTAATTTGAGAAAAATAACTAATGAAAAAAAAGTGGTACTTTATTTAGGCATTGTTTTTATAAAATAGTATTATTTAAATGTTAAATTACAATTATCCCAACATAGAATAGGAAGCAAAATCCAATTTTGAATCTCATGGAACTGCCTATTCAAGATTTTTTTGTTGAAACAAAGCTTTGATTTTTTTTAAATTAAATTAGAATTTTAGTTAACTCAAAGGAAAAACGAAATCAAATGATAATCAAAAGTTTTTGTTACTGGCTAATAGTATAAAATATTTTGGGATGAGATGAACTCTGTATGCTTTATAAATCTCAATTGTAAATCAAACTGAATTAAAAAAGTTAGGCTAATTTATAATCTGTGATACACTTCAAAGATGATTTCTTTAGCACTCTAATCAACTATAGTTTTATTCATTTGCTAAGCTAGAATACCAAAGCAGTTCACGAAATTTCCTTTTTCAATTTATTGAATTTATTTAATGCCGTAAAAATTGTTAATGGGTCCGACTGTCATCCTGGAACTAAATTTGAAAAATTGATAGAAAATTATAAATGACATTAATTTATTACAATAAAAGTCTGAAAGGTCAAACTTCAGTTTAAAGTTTTGTTTTGTATTACAATGGAAAAACGTTATTCCAGCAGGAGAGATGTGCTGTAAATGAAGATAGAGTTGTCAGAATTAACTAATACTTTTACTGAATATTAGACATATTGTTACTAATTATTAAATTTTCTGTAATATATTTTTTAAATTTATAATGTTGTCTGATAAGATTAAATGAGAGATTCAAAATGGTGTTTTCTTATTTAAATCGAACTTTCTCGTATAATTAATAGGAAACAATAAATTAAGCATCAATATATGTGTCTCAAATGATATGTTGGTCGAACTTGTTATGATTAATACGTGAATTGGTAATCATTAATCCTTTCAGGAAATCAAATGATAACAGGAATATAGCGATTTATATCTTGTATACGGAAATGTACTTGTAATACAACTTGTTATTTGATGAAATAAATGGAATTTAATGAAAATCATTGTTTTGCGACTTTAGAACGGCTGGTGTTTTCTGAAAAACTTTCAATAGCAACAACAACATCAAAAATTTCTCGTCATCAGTTTTATCAATGCTCAATATCATGAAACTAAACTATAATAAGCAACATCAAGTTCTTGCAAATTTCATCCTTTATCACTTTTTTTGAAATTCAATTAGTAATTTTTGATTAGACATTTTCCAGAACAGTTGATTTCTTTCCTGCATTTTTCTTCTTTAATCATGTTTTACATGCATGGTGAATTTTGACAGTGCATAACTGCTAATTGAATAACAGCATAACCATTTGTTTTGATTAGCTCAGTGTTCAGATTTCTCCTACCCCAAATTCACAGATAATCTCTCAAACGTGCTTCAAATTTAAATCATATTTAAAACGCTCATTTCTCTTACCCAAATGTGCGGTTATAGTTTGGACAAGATAATTAACGATCTAAACAGTTTTCGAAATTAATGATAGGTGCAAGCAATGCAGTTCTTACAGACAATTGTAAAACTTTATTTTCGACCTTGATTCATGAAAGTAAATGAAGAAATCGCTTTGCTGAGTGTATTGATGAGTAATTATCATCGATAAAAGAAAGTGTTCGATGTCACTTTTTTGTGCTTCCTGATAATTTGATCGCTGTAAGAGAAAGTCGTAATTTTTTATCACTAAATTCATCTATAAATATTAAAAAACTAGGAAGATTCTTTTTAGAAAAAATTTATCACAAAAGATTTTAAGAAGCTATTATTGATATTTGATATTCTTTCAACGAATGATTTGCAATATATTGAGTTTTTAAACTTCATTTCACATTTCCACTCACTTATGTAATTTATTTTTTGGCATAAACTGAATGAGGTAATAAATAAGTAGTAAATGACCACTGTTAAACGGAATACAAACTTTTTAAAATACACTTCCACTAATAAAGTTGAAGTATATTTTAAAAGTCAACCATAAGTTTTAATGTTTAACCTTCTAGTGTTTTCCTTAAACCTCTATAACTATTTCTTTTTCTCATGACTTATTTAATTAAAGCTGCAGACATCTCGTTTAAACATGCCGCGTTTGGCATGGAGATTTAATGACAAAAAGAATGGACATAATACAACAAATGGCGGAACGAGATTACCTGATAAGTTGACGCAGGCTCTAAAAGCACTGCGACCAGGTGTTCTATCCCATGTTTCTCACTTCTCATTGCCATTTAAAAATCAGGTTGTTTTTTTTTTCAGTACTAAAGTAACCAAATTACAGATTCATACACATCCGTAAGCTGATTTTTCAATTCCTTGAGAATTGGAAAATTGTGAATTTCATTACACACCTTATTATTGATTGGCAAAAAATAAACGATTCTAATAAACTTCAGTTGTTAATTCTATCTAAATAAATTAAAAAAATAATGAAAAGTCTGAAATTAAAGACTGAAAAAAAAGAAAAGCAGGGTTCAACTTATATTGCTGCGGCAGATGACGTTATTTATTATCCAAGTTCGGAGCAGTATCGGAACAGGCGAAGTCAGCAGTTATCAATGTCTTTTGCTATGGTAATATCGTTATTTGCATATTAATAATAATTCGTTTTGCATTAACATTAATATTCGATTTTTTAATTCATAACTTGCATGCTCATTCTCTTTTTATGTTGTATGCTTAATTGTTTTCATATATAACTAAAGATTGAGAAAAAGGTTAGCAAAAGTTAAATATCCAACAACAGAATAACCAAAAATTCTTGTGTGAAACACTAATAGTTCGATAAGCTTTCAACTGATCGAGTAGATATAATTATTATATGCAACGAAATCTTTTTTGTTCACTTCTTTTAAACTTTTTTTTTTTAAGTTGGACTTCATGTATATCGTAAATATATAAAAAATTTTTCAGCATTTTAAATTAATAAACAATAGTAATATCATATGAGAACTTCTGGAAAGCAATTATATTTTCATAAAATAAACAACGAATTAATGTCAACTGTTACAAACTTCTTTTACTGATTTTAGTTCGAAGTTCAAAGCTAAAGATTTAAATTGAAATTGTGAAATATAGCTTGCTAAATAGATTTTTTATGTGGAAAGAAAGAATTTTACATATAAATCAGTTTTTCTTTGTTTTCATATTAAGATTCAAGAATTGAAAAAACAATGATTTTTTTCTCTTACTCAACAAAAATCGAATTATAATTCAGCATGCATCATCACCCCGTAGCACACTACCTTTGCAACCCAACGTAGAATCGGTGAGCACATTTGAGCAAATACGGCAGCTCTACAAAAGTGTACCGAATTTGAGTACAACTTCCAAAGAAAGTCCCAGGAAAGCCGACAGGTAATTATTGAAAGTATCACTCTTTTTTACCCTTTCTCAAGAATATTAGGAAGTGCAAGGAGAATGAAGCAATATGAATTCAACGCAATTATTAGTTTATAGAAAAACAAATAAATTCTGTAATACAAAATCGTCAGTCATTTTAAAAAATTAATACAATCTCGAAAAATGTGAAACAAATTTCAATAAATAATAAGAATTTGTCTCTTGTAAAAATTGATCCATCTTCAAAACACAGAAAGAGTCTTTTCCAAAATGTCATAAAATTACCTCATTCCATCTACTCTTTTACTCATGCGCCATTCATCCGCATAAAAATCAGTAATCCGCAGCTTGTCGCATTTTGTTTTTAGCGTTGTTTATAATTCGAACGGTTTACCCCGAAAGGATCTATACTATGAATCACTGCAAAATGCAGTCCATAGTAGCTCACCATATTTGGGTACAGCAGGATCACCTACGGATAGCGGATATCGTTCCGCACCACGCATGCCGTCTCATTCGTCATCAACTGTGTTACTTCATCAAAGAAGTGATTATTGCTCTTCCAAGAAAGGTAACTTTGTTTATTTAGATATTAAACTGGAGAGCAGCTCTCAAAAAATGCATTTTTGGTAAAAAAAAATCAGTCCTTTTGAAGATTGTAGTATGACAACATCGCGTGTGTTTGTTCGAACTATAAACATTAGTTTTTATTTGAAATGACTTAAAAAGTGTAAGAGTAAGTGGATAAAGCTTAAAATTTAAATGGTTTAATAGGAACCTCTATGAGAATAAATTGATATTATTTTGACAAATTGATGACCTCTTTCTTTCTTCATACATTCTAGATATTAGTAACTAGTTTACAGCTACGTGTCATCGACGACATGAGCATTTTGCTAAACGAGTTCACGAATCAACGGCAGTACTTGCGAATTGTGCATCAGTGGAAACATCTCCTCTTCAAATCAGCCATTATAATAGCACACAGAATTATGATTTCGAGTGTTTGTCACAAGAATTCGTTTTCACATCACCAAAAGATACCGACAGTAATTCGCTAACCAAATCTTCGATCACAATAAAGTTTGCTGTTCATTTCACATATAATCTCATCAAGTTGATTAATAAAATTTGACACAAAAAATTGATTAATTGCTAATTGCATATGTGCAACTGAAAAATCATGTTCATTTGACAAGAAATTAAATTATTCTTAACAAATAAAGTTCTGTTTGAAAGATTAATAAAATAGAATCGAAATATATGTAGTCGATATGTGATATAAACAAACTTTGCGGCAGTCCGCTAATTGTAATCTTCAAACTGCAAAAATAAATTTCTTCGAAATGTGAGAATATGTTGTAGTGCACGAATAAAGAAATTTGATATTAGTGAAGATGAAATAATGGAAGTGTTTAGACGAAGAAGATGTAAAGAATATGGTCAAATTGTTGATCGTCGAGCAGTATTAAAGTAAATTTTTATGCAGATCTTTATTGACGTTTATCATACATTAAGAGTAAATTTATTGATTGTATTTTATGATGTAAACTTGATACACTACAATCAATTTGTATTTAGATTGAAGAAATGCTTGGAAAATGCTCTTTATATATTAGCAGATGAGATTCGTCGTCTTTCTTTACAATTTATCAAATGTCGTATCTTGGATATCAAGACTGCACTAAAGGTTGAATTTATTATTATAAATAGACATTATTTTTCTCACTGTTACATTATTATTGTCACTTTCATCCTATTAAGCTAGTTCTATGAGTTGATAATGACAAAGTAATACAATGAGTAACCATTTCAATGACAAATCTATAGAAACTATATTGAACATATATCGTATTGTGAAGTTAATTTTGAAATTTCACCCATTTGTTTTGCCAGGTGCTGTTCAGTGATTCTGTAGCAGAAAGTTGCACTAAAGCTGGAATTCAAGCGACTTCTATTTATGCTCTCAGTGGATCTGGCGCATTGAAATCAAGCATGCAACAGCGAGCTGGGCTGTGTTTCAATTTAGGTCATTTTTACAAATGGATGATCGAAAGCCAAATCAGTGAAATTGTCCTGGATGAAGTGAGAAAAATTATTTGTCTTTATCAGTTGTTATCTCCAACATAAATTTATAGTGTCACTTTTATCATGAATAGAAAATTTTCAAGTTACTTCTCTATAATTTACAGGCTGCGGTATTTCTATGTGCTGTATTGGAATGCCTTTTGGAAGAAATAATTCTTGCTTGTGTTGGATCAAAGTGTAATCGATTAAATTTTCTAATTTGTTTGTTTAATTTGAACTCATTAATACCAAATTTAAGCTGCTAGCGGATATTAATCGACGCGTCCATTTTAGTTAAGCTTTTTAATTTTAAATTACTTTTTAATAAATATGATGAGTAGACGATTCTCAATAATTTCATTCAAATCAATGACTCACAGACATATCATTAAGTAAAGGAGTCAAAAAATGGGCTTATTAAATCTTTTGTACTTATAGTATGCAGAGGTAACTTAACGACAGATACGCTGAACGAAATGTTGGACTGTGAAAACAATATTAGGAAACTTCTAGCAGAAAACAACGAACGAATAATATTGAAAGGTGAAAAAAACACAGTTCATTTACTTTCTGTCATTTACATCAAATGTGCTTAATTATTTGAAAACGAAAAAGAAAAATGAGACAGAAACTAATGAAGTTGTTCGAAATAAAAGAATTCTGAAGCGGTAATTGGAAGACAAAACAGAAATTCACAGATTTCAACAAACGAAATGATATCATGGTGCAAAAAATACTGCAGGAGAAGCTGACTTTACGACATCAAATCATCAAAGATGCTCGGACAAGCTATCTCGATTATGTATTAACAGCGAAACTCAGCTAATAAAATTACTCCAAATGAAAGGAGTAGAGAGAAATAATATTGAGAATTTGGGAATAGATCTATGCCTAAGGTTCATTTTTTAAAAAATTTTCCATCCAATTTCAAATTTTAATATGAAACATAAATTGCAGCATTCAACTATTCCTTTATCAAATTATTATTAGTCTTTGAAATTTTCCTTACATATTATCAAAGCAAAATTTTAATTTAAATTTTGATATTTCAAGGAAATTGCCTTTTACTCGAAATGGTGCCAGAGCTTTGTTCTACTTTTTGAACAGTTCAAAGCATTCCATCAACTGTGACAACACTTGTTCACCACTAGATAAGTTAGTGTTTGATCATCATCAATTGAATTGGACACAAACAAATTTAATGAATTAGTAACCAGAATAACTTTGCTAACCATACTTTTTTAACTTAATATTAACAACTGTGATAAGTAGGCAACATACAAGTGATAGTTTAGTCACTACAGCTGTAATTTGTTGTAATCAGTTTTCAATTTTTAAATATTTTGAACTGTCGTATATATACATTCGAATTACAATTCATAATTGTGAATAAGCAAATAGGAAGTAAAACATTCTTGCTTTACAGTTATAATCCTTCGACAATTAGTGAATGGATTAGGATATCAGAAGCATATGCAATGCATCATTCCTCCGATACCGTTGACGAAGATGATGTAAGACAAGCTGCTCGGATTTTACTCAATATAGACTGTCCTCCGCGATTTCTCGACTTCAGCAGCAGTAAAATCTCGTATGGGTTTTCCGGATACCATTAGATTGACTAAACAGTTCTTTATGAATCTCATGAAAAAGAGCTTCGAATGTTGGTCATTGAGCTATTCATTTAATCGAAAATAAAAGATCTAAATTTTATTTTAAAGTCCAAAAAAATGCTAACGTGTCAGACCATTCATCTAATAAATATTGATCTTAGAGAGTGTAAGTAATTATCTGTTCCTACGCATCGAAATAATTTTAGATTGAACGGATCAGTGAAAAGTCAGCAGAAATTAATGCAAGAAATCGCTTTCCAGTTATTGAGAGTTAACTCTGAGGAAACTGTTAGCATGGCGTTAGATTTTCTTGGACCAACTAAATTGCACAATTTTGATGCATTTGTTAGTTAACGGATCACTATCTACTCATTTATAATTTAATTTGTCATTCCTGCTTAACTTAATCGTTTTATTTCACTAATTATTTCTAATTTAAAATGTAGTAAAGTTATTCACTACCGATCGAGTGATTTTTTTTTTTTGTTTTCAAAAGTAACTAATCGACAAGAATAATTTAGGGTTTAACAGCGCTTTCGGAAGCAATCCTAATTGATAATAACCAAGCAGCAAATGCATTAATATTAGCTGCGCCAGATTTAAACATTCCTGTTCCAAATGAGCAAAATATAAAGAATTCAAGCGCTCTTTTAGTGGATTTTGCTGGTTGGACACCCTTAACATGGTAAATTTTTAATCTTTTTCTTTTCACTTCAAACACTTTACAAAAAGTTAAAACATGGAAGCGAAGTAAGACTGATTTTGAATGGAATGCAAAGATGGAAGAAATGAAAAAGGGAATATCAGGGTTCAAAAGCAGCATTGACTAAATTAATTTACACGAAAAGTTTATGTCAACTTTTTCCCCCTCTCTCTCTCTCTCTCTCTCTCTCTCTCTCTCTCTCTCTCTCTCTCTCCTTTTCTCTACTTCATACACATTTTCGAATAATTGGTATTTAAGCAATTATATAATTTAAACAAAATTGAATGCCAGTTTTAGGGCTGTTGCACAAAGAAATTATCCATTAACTGTACGTCTTATCGATGCATGTGCTCAAGTTGAGAATTGTTCAATGATCAAGGAAACTCCGCTGCAGGTTAGAAAAAGAATGCTTTATTAAAATTTCATAAATAAATATAACGTAATCGCATAGTTTTGTACATTCATAGAAGCAATTTTAACCACATTAAAATATCCGATAGACAGATAATTCCTACTATGTAACATTGCTTCTGCGATTTTTGTTGTTGAAACAGAAGTTCAGATTGATTTCTATAGTATTTTCTAGTCTATATCACATACTACCGTTTTCTATCGCTCTTTCTAAATTGATTATTAAAAATATGCAATCAGTATTTTCATGGCTTCTTTTTCAATTAAATTCATTTCTCAGTTGAAATTTCTGATTATTTTTTATAATAAATTTTCCTCAGTTGATTTAATTAATGCATAAATTATCAGTGAATTGCTGATAATATAGGTAGCAACGATGTTGGGTGATGCAGATATTGTTAGGAAATTACTGAAATGTGATGCGAATCCATTTCGAACGACAATTGATTATGATTCCATGAAATGCAATTATCGCCACATGGGATTGCCATCAGCTATTGCATTAGCAGCTGCATATAACCATCGACACATCCTCAGGATGATGCTCTATGCAGGCAAGCCATTTCTCACAATTTATTATTTGCAAATAAAATTATCAAAATGTTATCAGTACCGTGTACGATGAAGTGTTATGAAAATGTGACATTTATAAAATTGCTAGATGTATTCTGAATGCCTTAATTTCTTTCCATGCATTCAATTTCTGCAATATCAGCTTTATGTGAATAAATGAAACTGACAAATCTAAAATTCCTTGTTTGGGAAATTAGAATTTTTTTCCTTCTTTCAATTTCTTTTCAATTTCAGTATCAAACAGTTGTCTTGAAAATAATTTTTATAAGGTTTCAATCAAAGAAAAAATGACAATTTAGGAGTAAATTACAAACGTTCGGAGGAAAATTTAAGTTTGAAGGACTTCCTTGATCAAGATGAAATGGCATTTGATAAAAATAAAACTTGTTTCAATTTACAAAGGTTATTGTATCCAGAATTGTTTCGCTTCATTGCATTTTTTATTATGATTGATAGGAAAAAGAATGTTAATTAAATTTTCGAATGATAATATTTATTTCAATTTCAATCACAAACAGTTGTCTTGAAAGTAATCTTTAGGATAAAAAATCAACGATCTTTTTTTCAAAGATTTTTTTGTTTCATATTAATTACGAATTTTCCTCCAGCAGTATGCATTCATTTCTGGATGTTTTCAATAAGGAGCAAAAACAGGCGCTTAATGAAGCAATGTATTACGCCGCTGAAACTTGGCATATTGACATCGCTATGGATTTACGCAAAATTGGTTCGATTCGAATGTCTGTTGTAGTTTTGAGATTTTTTCTTCCTTCCACCGCCTTACTTTACAGTGCAATATTTTTCCAGTACTGATGTGGCACAAAGAATGATATCTCTAATCTTGGCTAGTCAAAATTTTAAATCCCAATAATCAAATCCTTCTGTCTGATTTATTCTTTGGCTTACATAAAGTTTCAGAATGAAAGCTAAATCATTCAACTATAAATGAAATATTAGAAAATTTCAGGTGTAGCATGGAATTTACATACATGGACAACTTGCTTGCAAGCTGCTTGTGTACAATTTTCTCGAAATTATAAACTTCCACTTCTTAATGATTTTAATTTTTGCTTAGCTGACGAACTAACGTGCGATAATGTCCATGAAATTGCAACTTTGGTTTGTTTTAATTATGCAACAATCATAATATTTTAGTAATTGATATCTTTTTCACTGTACTTATTTATCATTACTCTTTTATTTTTTTTCCTCAAACCAAAAAAAAATTTTTTAATTTAAAATTAATGATTTTTTGATTCTTTGTAAAATTAAAGTCGTCCTCATTTGTAATGTTAATTACTTTTTTAAGAAATAATAATCAGCTTCTAGTGGTAGTGATTCCTGACATGCCAATTTCATTGAAAACATGAAAAGTCTTCTTGATAATGAGTAGGATCAGTAAGATCATGATGAATAATGGGACGTAAAATAGACAATAATCATATTTTATCTTGAATAGTTCTGCTATTTTCAGTCAAAGTTAGCTTCCATAATTTCAACATGGTTTTTATTCCTTCAACTTTTTGTTGCATTTTAGTGTAAAATTTCAAAGATTTAAATTTAACATCATATTTTAGTTATTTGATATCATACGTTCGGAATGTCCATCAGCAACCAAAGAACTACGACAAACAGCTGCAATAATAAGTTCATTTTATCGACGTATGTGTGCTGGACAGACGACAACAATAGTGAAATCAGATAATTTGGAAAGTCAGAGCAACAATAATCGCAAATCGATGATTGATCTTGGCTATGTCAATAATCCTGATCTTTCCGATATTACTTTCTTGGTTAGTGCCCATATTCTATGTATGGTAAAAAAGAGCCAAATGTTTATGACCAAGTGAATTAAAATTAAGGTCTCGTCAGTTCCGGTTAATAAATCATTTCAAGTTGTACAAGCTTTTACAAGAGCATTTTCAGGTGGCGAACAAAGTATTCTACGGTCATCGTATTGTTTTGATGAACACATCCAGTATCTTTCGCAAACTTTTAGATGATAACAGCAGTGAAATACTTCTTGATAATATCTCCTATGAAATCTTTCATGTTTGTCTTGTTCGATGAGCAAAGAAATGTAGCATCTAGCATCACAATACAGAGTTGTAGTTGATTTAACAAAATGCTTGGAGTAGAAATTTTTATCAATATCACTTCTATGTTAACCATGAAGTTGCAAAAATAACTTTGAATGACATGTATTTCGATAAATTTATATTCAGAAAAACTTTTAGTTATGTTGCAGCTTGTTATGATGTATCTTTACTCTGGTGGCCAATTTGAGGTGATAGGTGAATGCTCATTATCACAACAAATGGAACTTGTTCAAGCTGCTCTTCGTTTTGGTCTCAATACTTTAAAATGTGAGGTTATCAGAAGTATCAAAATGCTGATACGCAATACAACAATTGCTGAGATATTTTCGTTCACTATGGTTAGTCTAACAATTTTTATTCCGTTGCGAATTTTATTTCCAAAATTTGATTTTCGAATGCTTAAGGTGAGTAGTTTGATATCTTTCAGGAAGTCATCATTAGTATAATTGCGCTGCAATCAAATGACCATAGAAGTGATTCTCATTAGACCATAGTGATCTTTAGTGATTCTCATTAGTCTATCAATAATTCGTTATATTATTTTGAAGGTATTTTTCAGCTTATACAAGATTACTTTTATTATACATAAATGAAATTTATAGGATTTATTAGCGTATATCAATATGTTAAAGGAATAACAAATGAAGATCTTCATCTGCAGAAATCATCATGTAGTTTTGAAATTTTGATTTTCAGAGATATGATCTTAATGAACTGAAAAACGAATGCTGTACATATATATTCAAATACATGTCATCAGTGCTCGAGGACAAGCGGATCCGAATTCTTCTGCAACACCACGATGATCAACCAGATTATTGTACAGAACTTCTCAATATATTTTTGGAAAGCTATCAGAATCATAGTCGCAAGGCTATCAACCATTGAGAAAACTTTTTTTTTGCAAACTGTAAACCAACACTATTAATTAATTGCAACCGATATAAAATAAGGAAATTAGGAATTCAATTCTTCAAATTTTTATCGGAAGTGCATCATAAACCCTGTTTATTTTATGTGTATTGTGTAAAACATACACTGAATGTTGGATTAAACTGAAAATAAATCAAGTTCTTATCAAATTTGAATTCATTCCTCCTTCAGTTATACATTTGGACAATGTCCATATAATCGCCAAGATATTTCGAAATTCTCGGTTTATAGTCGGTTGATTAGGTTAATATACCGAATTATTGGGAGGAAGCAACTGGAGTGAACAAATATTTATTTTCACTACCTTATTCCTGTCCATCTATTGAATGATTTGTAAATTTCATTCAAAATTCTAATACGGGTATTTCTGTTGTTCTTCCAACTTTTCCCTGTTACAACCATAAAATGTTTTTATACATCTGACTAATAATTTTTCAATTAATCTTAAAAAGTCCTAAGCTGTTCACGCTAATTCATCCCAAACTCCCCAATGGCCAATAGATTTTAAAATACCACAGATTTGTTTGTTTGTTATTGCTAAAATTTTTATGTCTAAAAATTGCCATAAAAAATTGGTAGCTGCTTGTTTATTATCACATAATACAGATTAATTTATATGTGGTATTATTTAGATGTATTTTACACTTCAAATGCTGTGCATTACTGGGAATTCTGGGAATTTCGTGTTTTACTACAATGACAAATAAAATGAAATTGTATGAGTCATTTGGATTTATTAATCAGTAGAGTGTGTTGGTTAAAAGTTTTTAAATTAAATCCAAGTTAAAAAACGATGCTTTATTCAAGAAAGATAATGTTGCAGAGTTATCATCTTTAATCACATTTGAGCATACATTTCTGGAAGAGTTCGTACCTCTGAATAGCGTATCTAAAAATCACAATGAAGTTTACGACAAATATCTAAGCAGAAAATGTGAATGTATTTCCCTTATTCGAAAGTTACTCCGTTGGATACATCATAACCTCCAATTTCCGAACTGAATATATCTTTCTCCATTTTCAATATCTTATTTCTATCCATCTACAAGTGATGAAACACTCACAAATTTCATTTCAACTTCATCATACTGAAACGGGTATTTCTTAGTTCCTATAGTTTTTTTCTCCAACTCTCAGAGTTCGCTTTATAATGAATGTAAAAAGAATTATAAAACTTACTCTAAATAGTCAAAATCAATGGTTGAGATTTGAGATTGTACCAAGGCCCAAAGAGCCCAAAAGAAATGAGCAGCCTGAAATACTTCGTCAAATTATCAAATTCACAGAAATCTCATCTCTTTTTATTTCTTAAAAATGCATCTTATTATTAATTTATAAATGAAACATAATTAATGATTTACCGCTTCGAAAGCATTGTTTCCATCTAGGAGATTGTCAATTTCATTCTTTTCAGGTTTCCTTTCTAAATAATACGTCAAGTATTTCGTTATCCATTCACGTTTATATTTCTTATCAGGGCATCGAGAATAATTGAAATCCTCTACACCTTTAAATCGAAAACTTTTAAACTGCAGATTAATTAAATATGCGCAAACAATAACGTTCCTAGCATTCCACGTTACAAATCCCTAATGATGTATATTTGCGCGTAATATTGTTTATTATATTTCATTTTTTCCTTTTTTTTAAAGTGTTCTGACCAAATACTTCTGCATATGGAAATTTTGATAAATAATGTTGGCTTTGTTACATCACCGGTGTTTGGTCTTAAATAATAATAATTCTGGAGTGTAAAAGTCCAGCTAGAATAGTTTCAGATACTTTGGAAACGCACTCATGTGTTTCCGCGATCAGCTAATTGAGCCGGTTGTTGCTTTTTCTCACCATTTGATTTGATTCCAAGCATTTTACGAAAGTAGGATCATAAACTGACCAGCATATTCGCAAAAGTGATTAGCTATGTCGAAATCTTGATAGTTGTAATCAGCATACTCATAATCAATAAAACTTATTGAGTCTGAAGTGCAGAAAAAAATTACTTTTCAAGAAAGTAAATAAAGTTTATTAGAATAAAGCTTGAGATGAAAATATCAAACTACTGTTGTCTTTTGATTTTATTTAATTTCAAAGAAATATTCATAAACGGTCCAGAAAAACCTAACTATTGGAACAAAACAATTACTATTGTTTACTATTTATGGCTTAAAACAAAACTTATAAAGTTGGTCATGGTGTATCGTGGTTTTTTTTTTAAATTTAACTGTGAAAATTAGAAAGCTGAACCTGTTTTGTCATCATAAATTATGTTATGGATCAGCAGATCGTTGTGGCAGAAAACGACTTTTGATTGTCGTCGTTGAATAATGTCTTTTAGACGGTGCAAGTCGTGCAAGAAGAAAATCTCTCCTTGTTTGAAGAATTCATCGTATTTCTCCTGCTTTTGCTTATTCTGGGAAATAGGAAAATATGAGGAAAAGAGTAAAAATGTGTACAACTGTTTAATCTTCACTCCTAATTAATTAGTAAACTAATCAAGTACTAAGAGCAACTGTAGAATGACCTCATAATGATCGGAGAAATTTGCCAAAAACTGTTCGATTTTGATAAATAATGTTGGCTTTGTTATATCACCGGTGTTTGGTCTTAATTTGTGCAATCTTGAAAGTGATTTACAAGTATTCCTGAAAGCACCATTATTATAGGAAATTGATAGCTTTTGATTTTAGAAATAGAATGTTTAACATAGTAAATCGGGGAGAGTTCTACTACAAAAAACAAATAGTACTGTAAAATTTGGGTAAAGTTCTGCAATAAAAATTGATAGTTGAAGCTTCACTTCTTCCACTCTTCAATAGCTGTTTAAACAAAAATGGATTTAAAATGAATGTAAGCTGTTAATTTCTGTAAATGAAAATTTGTCGATACATATTATTTTCATGTCAATATAATTATTGTTGTTAATGAAAACAAAATCAAAGTCACTTGAATAACATACGTAACAATAGTCTCATCACGCAAGTTGTCAACAGTGAGCGTATTTCCAGGAAGAAAGCCGCTTACAACCCCGCCGGTAAATCTTGCATATAATTGAGCAGCACATCCATGTGAAGCCAAATATAGCCAGTTGTTGAGTTCTTTATCCCTTTAATCAAACTTTTAATGGCTAAAAAGATCTTACTTAAATTCACATAATTTTACCTCCGAACTGTCTCTTTCCATAACAGGCACAAATATATTGCAAAGTCATAATTCTAAATTTCATGATCCAAAAATTTGGATGATAAAAAAAGCGGTCAAATCTAAATCAAAATTTACAGATTAATTAGGCAAATTAATTTGACTTCTAGCAGTGAATGATCAACTAACTTAGTTGTAAATGGTACCATTCTTCTAACATTCGACATGCTAAGCTGTAAGTTTGAGCTTTAATACCTGTCGATGATTTTATCCGTATTATTTCCATAAATTCGGAATAATAGTCGCTCTTTGTGCATGGTACCATTTTCTGAAGTATATGTTGCACACAGGATTTTATTCGTTATTCCAACTGTGAAAGCCTGAATTTATATTTGTAATTTATTATCTTCTTAAAATAAAGCTTCTAGAAACTTAGGCAATTCAAAAACTTGGAAGTAAATACTAACTTTGAATGAAATTAGGTCGCTTTCCCATGATGGTTTGATTTCCTTCAAGATAAGCAGTGCTCCTTCCTTAGTGGCCTCATCATCGGTCAGTGGTAGTTTTATATTTACCGTGAAAATATCGTTTACAGCTGGCATTATGCTATAATCATTGTCAATTGGGAAAAAAGTATGATAATTGTCTTTTAACAGAAACGATTTTAATCCATGATATTTTAAAAAATGCAGAATGCTATTCGAAAAGATCAATAAGCATTGAACGGTATAAAAGTAGTCACAATGCTAAGTCACTGAGAGAATTTGGATGACAGGTGTACAAATTTTCATTTGCATAAATTTAAGAATTTTCAGGACAAAATGTTAGTAACTTGTTAAGGATACGTTAGAAAATTGCATTGGTGTATTGTTGTTATCCTAGGTAAGACAATCATGCCGCTATCAAAAAAGCTTTTGTGCAAAAATATTCAATTATTTGCACTTCAGAAAATAAAGTTTCCTCTGCTTCACATTTAATTTTGAACAAATACGACAACGAAACATAATCCTAAAAGAAAAATCTATTTTAATGAAGAGAAAATTTAGGAGCATAATTTAATTTTTTTTTTATTTTTTTTTTAGGAGATTACTTAATCATTTTCTGAGAACTGCTCGATGTACAGTGCTCAGTAACTTCTTTCAAAGTTTACATAAATGAGGCATTGTTTACCTATCCCCTTCAACACTGTCACATTCCCATTTCCCTGTCAAAAAAAGACTTTTTCCAACATCAGATTACAACATATTTGGATTCATAAATTTCAAAAAAATTTAACATTTACGTATCGATATACGTACTTATTTTTAACCCTGTTATCAAGAATAGTATATTATGAAAGTCTATGATTTAATCGATTGTTTTTGATCATAGAAATGTTTACTATAGAAATAAGTACTTTGTGATCGCTGAAACTTTAGACAAAACAGATGAGGCAAATGACGGATGAACCTACTATGACAATATTTTCAAAATATAACTGTTATCAGATTTATTATCAAGTGAATAACGTAGATTGTTAGTTTCCAAAAAAAATGTCAAGATTTGAAAGGCTGCTGCATGTGTCGTTATAACAACTAAACCAAATAACTGAAGTTAATGAAGTCAATAAAATGAAATGAAATTACTGTGGTTGAAATTAAACTGAAATAAATTTTGTGTTAAGCAGAATTGAAAATGCAAATATTTGGGTAGATTCAGCAGCTAAATCTTTTTCGTTGCTATATTTGCAATATTTTATCAATGCTGCCAACAATCAACATTTATATTAACTCTATGAAAGGTGACAAAATTTCGAAAGAGCAAGGGAGAGGGAAAAATGAAAGGCCAAGAAGGATAGAAACACTCGGAACGGGTTTTAACTTGTGCCTGACGATATGTTGACTGATTAATTATGCGCCAAAATAATCAGCATTTCAAATGGCTTACTTCAGTTGTACCCAGAAAGCAGAGGGTAAGGTAAGGATAGATAAGCTTACAATGATCATAGATGGAGTTCAGGACAATGAATGCATTACTACATGTTCAAATCTTTTCATCCTCACGTCTTAAAAATCTAGCAAATAGTAGCAATGAAAACAGCATACTAATTGCTATCACCGCGCCGGATAGAGAATACGGCAACGATGAGAGGATGACGGAATGGCTGCTGCACATCTCCCTGAAAGAGATCGCAAGCATATGTCGTTTTTCTGGACATTTACATTCAATGCTTTCTCTAAACATGTCGCAGGTTGCAGTAGCAGCAACCTATATATAACATGCTATTCAATCGACAAAAGCCTAATAAGACCAAACAATGACAAGTACTAACCACTAGGCTCGCGACATAAAGATGCAGAGTTGAATATATGAAACTGCAAAACCATTTTTGGCCTCTAAGCCACACACACAAACACAAATATAGACAAATACATATACACACGCACACACAGACAGATATACAGACACAGACACACACAACATACATTAGCCATGAAAGCGAAAAGCCTCTTTCCGCTTCCATGCAATCCTTTCCCTCTGATGTTCCTCAGCCATTTGCTCCCCTCTCCCTTTTTCCTCGAAAACCCTCTCTGATAAAGTCCTTCTTGTTGCCAGAGCGATACATCCAAGAGCAGCAAACATGCAATCATCCCATTCAGCCCCAACATGCAATCATCCCATTCAGTGCGTTCAAACAGCACTGCACTCCGAACAACCCCATCATGACCCACTTTTTCCATCTCATATCCTCAGCTTCCTCTTTTTTTATTTTCGAGAATTCGCTCATCCAGAAGACAGTATCTCAAAACGAAAGCTTAGCCGAACAGCATCACGCATCACTCTTATCCCATGAAATTAGATAAAGAATGAAGCTTGTTTCTGTTCATTATTTATTCTTTCAACACCTTATTACGTACTTCTCATGCATTATCATTAAGCGTCATTATTACACGCCCTTTTACATCGCTCTTACATGTTTGTAATGTTTACCGTTGGTTTATTGCAGCTTACCGAATCATCTAATGTGATCCATATTAAATCATATGGTTAAAATGAATTGATTGCCTTCTGTTTGTGCCATAAAATGGCTCTTTAAAAAAAAATGTTGGTATATAATTTTTAGTGAAATTCCAGGAGAGCTGGAAACAATGGATAGAAGAAGAAAGAGATTGCTAAGGTAGCCTATCTCTTGGCATATATTTGCTATTGGGTGCACATTTTGCATTCCATGTTTGACGCTATCAAAGAGGTACAATTAATTAATAAAATACGACATATAATTATAATTATAATCAAAGTATCAGATTTATTTAAACAATAAATTTCAACTATTTAACAGTTATTTTCATTTGAATAACACGTGTTTTTATTTTTCCAGGTGATTGGTGAAATCAATCTTAAATTAAATGCTGTTAATGATGAACTTAATGCAAGGATGAGTTATAACGCTGAAAACAGTAAGCCTTCTCATTTGCATGCAATTTAACAATCAATGCATGTGCAAATAAATGTAGGAGATCATTTATCCATTGGTCATCGATGATCTTCAGATGATGGAATGTGTTATAGGTTGTAGAATGATAGCAAGAATATTTTTATTTGGGAAATACGGTACTTCGAAGTCATTAACAATGACGTTTGACATATATTTTTGGTCATTATAAAATTGCAGAAATGGCTAGGGACTCCCTGTCCACTCATCATTGGAGCATCAGAGATTCGATTGCACTTCATGCAATTCGATTGTGCTCCATGCATTGATGTAGGAATTAGTGTTCTTTTAAGGCATCCCAAATAGCTAACCTAATACGTTGTAGTTTGAGTCCTAGTTGAATTTTCTACTTCCAAACTAACCAGTGTGATAATTATGAAAGAGAAGAGAGTGGAGGTAAATGGACAGCCGCATAATAATCTCAAGTAAATTCATTTATTTTGGAAAAAAAAACCCACATGCGAATCATTGTATTACTCAAATCATTTGATGATATTTTACAAATTCTACCTTTTCACTCTCTCTTTCTGCTTTATAATCCTCAAAAACAAACAAACTTCTGAATATTTCAACATGTCACAGTTCGTTAGAAGAACTATATTTTTTTGTACATAACTTCAAATTACTTGTTTTTTCATATCTTCTTCTCCACTGCTTTTTCTAACAAACTTAAAAAGGAATAAAATAAAGTGGTCGAAGTGATTGAAACTGCCGAATTCATTTATGTCTGTCACGTCACAGGTAGGATTGTAAAAAGAAGGGAAAAGAAATAAAATTAGAACATAACTTTCAGAATGAAAATTCTAAAAAAAAATTTTCCAGAGCATATAACGAAAAGGATTCTATCTGTCTTGCAATGTGATGCAGAAAGAGCTCTCCTTCTCACAAATTAATTTTGAAATTCTAAAACTAATTCATGAAACTATTTAAATACCTTTATTTAGTTATGTACAAATTAGATTTCATAACTTTTCGAACTAGGTTATTTCTATTTGCTCACTGAAGTAGCCTTATTCTCTCATTTCTGTTGGAAGAAAATCAAAGAATTGGGACTGATTAATTGAAGTTATATCCCTATAGATATGGAAATGGCTGTATAGCGAGCGTTTCATTCATTTAAAATTCGAAATACTGAAAGCAAAATATAGTAAAGGAATTCGTATTGATAATTATAAATCTGTTTTTTTCCCAAACTTTTTAGATCTTCCATCAATTTTAATCATCGGACTATTTTTTCAAGTTATAGTCCTCACAATTTGTAGGAACCTTCGAAAAAATAACATTTTATCTACGCATTTTCAAATTAAAATCACGAAGTTCTCTGTAGAATGATTTACTCAATGTTGCAGCTGTTGAAAATCTCTCTTCACTGGCATGAGAGTAAACCATAATATTTGTAATATAAAACGATTAAAATGTTAAGTTATCAAAAATAACCGATGCTACTGCAAGGCTGTCCAGAAGTCATTTTTCTCAGAGTTAAAGTAATGAGTGAAATGTGACCTATAAAATTGAGGGAAGAAGTATGAGTTACTATCTTGTTGAAAAGAGCAGCTCGAACTAAGCACTGAGATTGAGAAGTTTGTATTTCATTGACGGAAAAATAATTTAAAAATATGCCGTCAAAGCGAGGAAAAAAGTATCAATTTTTCTGGATGAAAAAGTAACAGAAGCAATGACGAATATTCTTAGATTCTTTGCGAAGCCCGAAATTAAAAATGTGCACTCAGTTGTCACAATATCAGTGACAAAACAGCCCTTTTTTTTCAACTATCACCAATCTTTTCAGTATTCTCTCATTCTCGTTATCATCTATTGATGCTATCGGGAATGAAGTGATTGATTGACTTTCTCACTTACAATACGAAATTCCCAACCTTATCGGAGAAATTGAAGGCCTTAAATTTTGAATGACGAACTCATTCAGTAGGGAATACTGACAAATACAACATTTTTCCATTAATCGCTATTTGAGGAGTTATATTTTATCTGTTCGTCTGGTCTCTTCATCAACGTTAGCAGTGATTATTGCTTTTTCTGGCAAAAATTTTCACGGAAGAGATTGCTCCTGTGAAAATCTAAAAATGATGAATTCTCAACTGATGATTTTTCTCTTTTTTTTAGTAAAACTTTTCCATTCTATGTATGTACGAACAGCTGTTCATCCAGCTGTCCATCCTTCGTATATTTTAAGAGAAGGAGCATGAAAATAGCGAATTCCAATCGAACCAATTTCCTTAGCAACTTTGAACATTTCCGATATATATGTTTTTTCGTCTCCTGGAGGCGTTTATCCATCATGAACTACCAGTTGTTTTCACACATTCTTATAAGTTGATTAGAAATTAAAATTATGAGATAAGGATTCCTGAAGTAGATGACAGAGGTAACATAGAAGAAAGCAGAGAAAGGAAATTATTCCAATATTTACTTTCCGGAAAATTGAAAAAGTTGGATGTTTTTCTGCTGATTGTTGCTTGTTGCAAATGGAAAATGATGTAACATAGTGGAAAATTTGTTTCAATAGCTTGACTCGTAAAAGGAGATGAAATTTAACTAGTAGTAAACAAATAGGACATAAAATTGAAAATTTTAAACTTTCAAACAATAAGATTAATTTAAAAGACGATTATTGATTTCAAACCACAAAAGTACATAACAAAAAAAAACCTTATGTTGTAGCTCTTATACGAAATAATCGAAATTATTTTCGCGTTATTAATAAAACGGCGTAAAATTTTTTCAATTTTCCTGCTAACTCTATAGTATTTAAAGGAGTTGAAACATGGATTGGAAACGTTTTATAAAGAAAAATGGCGTTATCCCATGGGATCATAAAATCTCATGAGAATGGAGAAAATTTCCTGAATCATAAGAATGTTTTATAAGATGGTAGTATCAGTTATTCGGAAAATTTTTTAAATTTATGATCCTGTTAATTTTGCTTTAAAATCTAAAATCTGTGGAATTTCTTTAAAAAAAGAAAGTTTAACGAATAAGAAAAGGACTGAGACGTATGCAGTGGAAGAATTAGATTTTATACACCGATGTCTCTAAAATATCAAGAGATGGATATAAGATTAATGATCATTACTATTTTTGTAAGGGTGTGAAAAATGATGATATTGTATAAAATGCTGTGTTAGGCTGAAGCAAACTTTTGGCCGTTTAAACTATTCTTTTAAAGAAAGCTTAAAATTGCAGAGTTAATCGAAACTTGAAATAAAATTTTTAATTATCTAACCGAAATTCTTTAAAGAGAAAATGAAGTTTTTTTATTGCAGTGGTAAATGGGATGAATTAATAGACGATAGATTACACTTAAAGCAACATTTCTAATGTTTTATTTTATTTAGACCTAAATTTCCTAATTGATTAAATAAATGGCTGTTACTTTTATTAAAACGTCATATACGTCAATCACTAATTAGTGAACTTTTTTACGATTCATTCATTTTGGAATAATTGTGCAGCATTTCCCACTGTTGGTCGGGAACAATGTTGACATTCTCATTTTAGATTTTTGTGGGATTTTCCTAGAACACTGAAAAGTTGAAGAAATATTCAACATGCTATGCTTTTGCGCAATCAGCGCATGAGGAGGTGGATGATGGTAGGTTAGCATAAGATGAACAAATCTTTCCATCCTCATTGCTTTTCCATTACTGTCCCCACTAATTTATAATATTTGTTATATAATTTGTTTTAATCTTTTTGCACTTTCATCCAATGACGGATAACATTATGGAAAATAAAAGGGCGGTACAGCTGTGACATTTTTGACTGCATATTACTTTTTATTTCCAAATAACTTTTCAATTTATCGTTAAATCTTTTCTCATGAGATTTTTTGAGTCCCTTGTTTAATTTATATTTCTAATATTCCTTAATGTTTACACCTGTTTGATTAATTACAGATATGACAGCGACAAGTAATGGTAGCGCAACGAATACAACTGTGATAGCAGCACTCTCCCACCAAGCGCAATACTGTGGACCATATAAAATTGAAAAAACACTTGGAAAAGGTCAAACGGGTATGTTCTTCAATTTTTGCATTCGTTAGCTAACTGAACTTTGCTCTTCAATTAATGATTATGCGAAAATGTTGTTCAATTACAGGATAAAAAGTAATTTTTGAAACAGTAATTTGAAATCCTACTGACGTTCTTGCACTTTCTCACTAATTGTTACTGTTACCATAATTTAATAATATATTTACAAAGCTGTACTATGTCATAATCATCCAATTATACTTCAAACTTGAACATTTAAACTAGTAAACCTAAGAGTCCCAAAGTTGATTAGGCATCGAACGGAACGATGAGTTCAGAATGCAGATATTTTATGATATAAATGCCTTAGTTATCAGTATATTTTATTCAGAATTAGATTTCAACGAACGAAGCGATGTTCTAACTTGACTTCGTTTCTTTAAATAATATCAATAATTGAAATTTGGTCTAATCTTTTCAGTAGGGATTGCACAATCGTAATAAGCTAAAACTTAAAACCAAGTAGACAATATGTTATTTGAACTTATTTTTTGCCATGTGCAGTTGCTTGTCTCTGATTATTTACAGATAATATTTGAAATAATGATGATGAAATTCTCGAATTTCATCCCTGCATTCGAGTAATTTAAAGTGAAGTCACAAAAAAAATTTTACGACAGACGCATTATTTAATGCGTCTGAAATTGGTGAAATCATTCTGATAAATTAAAAATGAGCACTGGAGGATTTTTTATCCCCTGATACAGTATAAAACGGCCAGATGTTAGACGTTAAATAAAACTCGAAACAGCTCATACTAAAAAAAATTTAAGTTTGTAAGTATTTCAACATTTTAATGAAAATAGCTAATACAAAGAAGAATCTAGAAGTGACCGGCAGCGATTAGGAGAAATAAAAGACGAAAATTGAAGCTGCGATCACTTTGGAAGAGTTTTATTTCAAAGTTTGGTGGTATGAGGGAAAATTTTCCAAAGTTACTAAGCGTTATTATTTTATTATTTGGAGAAATTTCAGATACTAACTCTTATAGGTTAAGTGCGAAACGACCAAAGGTGAGTAGATGGAAATTTTACGGTTGTTTTTTCTCATCATATATTACCTTTGAACATATTTTTACAGTTCCATAATAATTGAAATATTTCAACTGCCTATAAACTATTTAAAAACTTTGTTAACAGTCTCACCTAGGCGCCATCATTAGGAGATAAGAGATAGACTGGAGGTACTTCAAACCTTCAGTGCATCTCTTATTTCCTAATAATGGCACCATTGCAAGCCATATGCAATCACAGAAATCACTGAAAGAGACTTCGTTTCATTTCAGCTTTCAATTATATTGTATAATATCGATAATAAAAAATTAATGCTTAAACGAAAGTAAAATAATTGAATCGAAAAAATATAGTAGGAATAAATTTCTCTGTTTTATTAGATACTAACCGAAAGGAGCAGAATTTTTTTACCGCAAAAAAATGAAACAAAAATAGCCATTATTAATCATTTCTATTAAAAGATATGGAAGTTTAACTGCAAAATATTTCTATTAGTTAAAAAATGTTTTTTCCTCCTCTTCTGTTTATATTTTATTTTGCATCCAAATGTTTCTAATCGATAGAAAATAACACCTGGAAGGTTAGCATTTACCCTCTCTATTGCACCTGGGAAGAATCATTTCCATTGTTATTGATTGCTATTTCTTTTCATTGATCATCGCACTCATTAAAAATGTGTGTGCACGAAATTAGGCAATGAAAGAGAATTCACTGCTTAAAAGATATAGCAATTTATTTGCCACTTGCTTTGCGAATAAAAAATTACATTCTGCGTAAAACTATTTTGCTTAGCAATTAATACCGATTATTTTGTTACACATTTTTCATATGTACTTGCCAAAATAGTCAATGCTATGTTATACTTTTAAATTTGCTTTATATTACTTCCTATCGTTAATTTATAGACCAAACCAGAAATTAATCTTTCAATAAAATTTTCATTTATCTAGAGTTGAAAATGTAAGCCTAATTTATCTACAAATATGCCTTTTCTTAGTATTTGTCCTGGATTTATTGATTTCAAAATTTTATATCAAATTAAATAATACGTATTAATTTTATTGGTGCCTAAAAACCCATTAAGTATTGTCAGAGAGTAAAAACCCATTAAATATTGTCACATTATTGGTGCTAGTCGAATCTAACTTTTAGTTGCTGCTCAGTTAGAATCAATTTTTTTCACCAACCGTTCAGTTTTAGTTTATCATTCCTTTTCTTAATCAAGACAAGCCTTAGTTTATCTTAATGATTGGATTAGACAGTTTTCAAATATTAATCCAGTAAAACAATAATAAAGAACAACTATCCTTGATTCCTCAAATGAGAAAACACAATAGACCAGGAGTCAAAGTTCACTATAGAATCATCATTACTGTGTTATAAAGAATTCATGAAGGGAAACCTTTGGGATATGAAATGTGTAGTGTAACAAAAAAATCCCCCAATCATTTCAAATATGGCGCAACAAATTGCCGAAATAAAGAGTCAGAACATGCGTAATACGATCTATCACAAGTCGCTATTCAACTCGACGTATTTTGACTTGGGATAATCCTCCCAAAGGGATTTCATTTCTAAATGTTACATATCCGGGATTAGGAAATGAACTGAAGTCTAAGCAACTAATTGAGAGAGAAAGAGATACATTGAGGAAGTTAAGTTACAATGAACAAGTACGCGATTAAGATATTCAAAACTAGCTGAATTCAAATGGTTGATATTTTTGATGGTTGAAAGTTAATGAATCCACATAAGATAAGAGATGATTTGATGCAAATTTGTCGATTAACCTTTTAACATTTCGTACGGCGACATTGTAAAAAGTATGAAATGAAACAAGCAATAAGTTATTTATCAATCATTAATGAGTTGGAAATGATCATATGTTGTAAAAGTACTTACATTAGGTGTTACAAATGAAAAAAGCAAAAGGATACATTGATAAGAGTATCGAAAAAGCAGCGGAATGGAGTGGAAGAGGAGGAGAGACGATAGTATCACTTCATCACTGACTAGTCTTTGATGAATTGATTTTACAATTGTCTTTCATAGAGCCAAATGAAAAGAACTGATGGAAGATTATCGATTTATACGACACTTATTTTTAACAGCTCCAAAAATTTTATGAATAATCTTTCTTAGGAAATTCGAAGAGTTAGTAAAATGAAACATAATTAATTTTCTGTAGCTACAATTTATAAATTACTTCAGGACTTCAAGTCCAATATATTATTTCAAAAAGGAAAAAAAACACTAAGAATAAAGAAGTTGATTTTAATTAGTTAGATTCCATGGAAAAGATAGAAGAAAAAAACAAAAATCAAAAAATCGAATCAGTGAGAGACTGCTAGTTAAAAAACAGGATATGAACTCTGCTCTTTTCCACTCCCCTTAAAAACAGGTTATATGAGTTCAACACTATGAATAAAATCCACTCGACTATTGGGCACAAACAAGCACCAGTATGGCATTCATCAAGAAAATTAAATTTTACGTTAAAAATTTGCAAGAGAAGCAAATTTGTTGACCTTCGATTTATGCAGATTTTAGGTCTTGTGAAGACGGGAACACATTGTATCACTGGGCGCAAGGTTGCTGTAAAAATTGTTAATAAAGAGAAACTTAGTGAATCAGTCCTTCAAAAGGTTGGTTTATATACATTTTAAATAATACAAAATACAAATGTTCTCAATTTCTAAATACTCGCACAAATTTATAGCTTAGTTTGATAAACTTTAACACTGTTAATTACACCAAAAGATAAATGAAACATTTGGAATGCGAATAATATTGAATTTAAATCATCGGTATTGCATCCGTTGAAATGCAATGCGTTGATGAAGTGAAATTCTTTCTTTCATTGATGACTAATAGCATTAACCTTATTCGAGAGTAGTAATTGATGTATGTTGTAAAATTACTACCGAAAATACAATATTTTTGAATATTGAAATCAATAATAATATAAAAATGAAAAACGTGAAGAAAATTTTCATATGAAAATTTTTCCTTTACTATATTTTGTTAAAATTTGCCAGCTACTTTTGTTCATATTTGAATGAATTGTAAAAAAAATGTGATCAGTATATTATAGGTGGAACGCGAAATTGCAATAATGAAATTAATTGAACATCCAAATGTGCTACATCTTTACGATGTTTATGAAAACAAGAAATATTTGTTAGTTTTTCGAAATGTTCTCTCGTGATTTTTCAAAATCTTTCAATGCATAAAATAAACAGTGTAATTTCAATTTTTTCAAGAAGACATGACTGACTAGGAAAAATCGATCCATTTCTTTCCAAATGCTGGTACTTGTAAAAATACTTATCTTTTAAAGAAAATAAATTTTTACATGCATTATATTTTCTACAACTGAATATGTTTTTTTTTTAATGTGATTCTTAGGAGTTAGTTTGTTTTTCAAAAATTTCAACGAATTCGTTATAGATATTTACTGCTAGAACATGTTAGTGGTGGTGAATTATTTGATTATCTAGTCCGAAAAGGTCGCTTAATGGCTAAAGAAGCACGAAAATTTTTTCGACAAATTATTTCGGCTCTGGATTTCTGTCACGCTCATAACATATGGTTTGTAAACTGAATTATGAGGCAGAGTTGATTTGAAAATACTTTTGGTCCGAATTTTATCAGAAATTACTAATTCCTAATCTTCGTAGGCATTAAAAGAGTGTTGTCTGGACTTTCAAAGTTTGAAACTTTTTAACAGATATTACTCAAATAACTTTATTTCTTTTTTAAGTTTATATAAGTGACATTAACTTGTTGAATACACTAATACCTGGTAGTGCAGGACGATCATAAAGAATAAAATGGTAAAATTTAATCGCTATCAATCTTTGCATTAAATCATAAAGAGCAGGAGATAATAGTGAAGTATCATGAAAGAATGCGAATTAAACAATAATGAAGTAAAAAAGCATGCATAATGGTATCAATTAGCTGTAACCAATAAATCACGTCCAAGCATATTTTATTAGAATTTAAATTATTTATACATTTGTAGAAATTAATTATAGAAATTCTGCTAAACAGTTAATTTTTTCAGTCATCGAGATCTAAAACCTGAAAATTTACTTTTGGATGATAGAAATAATATTAAGGTTTGTTTTCAAAATTACAAACAATTTTCAACGACTGCTCATCTCTTCTTAATTCTTTCGAGTATTATTAATATGCTAATACAATGAATGGTCACTTATAGTCTCTGTTGTCAAAGATGTGAATTTTAAAGCTTCTCTTCTTTCAAACGTAGTGTAAGTATATTGCTGTTAAAGAGTATAATTCATTTACAGTACTGTGGCAGGCCTCATAGAGGTATTTCAGGTTGCTGATTTTGGAATGGCATCCCTGCAAGTTGAGGGTTCAATGCTTGAAACAAGTTGCGGGTCTCCACATTATGCTTGTCCGGAAGTCATACGGGTATTATGTAAAAACTTTTCGAGAAAACTTTATTGAAATTTCAAAATCTAACTTTTCATGGAAACTAATATCGGTAGTGAAATCTTTTGATATTTTAAAATATTCCTCATTAATAAAATTGTGTGGAATTTAATTTTTGGGTATTCAACAGGGAAAATCAAGGCTAACAAAGTTGAGAGTTAATTTTTTGGACAATTCAAAAATGTAATGATTTTAGGGAGAAAAATACGATGGTCGAAAAGCCGATATTTGGTCCTGTGGTGTTATTTTATATGCTTTACTAGTTGTGAGTTTATTTATTTGTTCAGCAGTCAATGTCATCATTTCTCTTGGAAAACAGTGGTAGTGTTTATTGCTTATTTTCTCAACAGTCACAGCTATTTCTGGCTTATTTGTACGGTAAATATTATTTGCAATAAATTAAATAAATGTTCATTTAAATGAATGTGGTATCTTTGATTCAAAAATTTTATAGGGTGCTTTGCCTTTTGACGATGATAATCTGCGTAACCTTCTAGAAAAAGTTAAGAAGGGCGTTTTCCATATCCCTCATTTCGTTCCATCTGATTGTCAAAATCTTCTCAGGACTATGATCGAAGTTGATCCACAAAAACGGCTTTCTGTAAGATATTATTTTTCGCTTCATTTTACTTTTCAATAGCAATAAAATTTCTTGAGAATTTCGGAAGAAGACTGTTCTACTTTCATTCTCTTTTTTTAAAATAAACCATATTTTATTTAATACAATAAAATCAATTCATATTAATCCATATTGTTAACCTGCAGTTGAGCGAAGTATTCAAACATCCTTGGGTTGCTGATAGTTCGAAAACTGAACTTGAACTTGAACTACCCATGGCGCAAGTTGTACAGGTGATTTTCATATTTTTAAATTATATTTTGCATAATGAGCGATTGCAAAACCTTATGAAGAGTCATTAAGTAAAATCGATCCCACCAAAAATGGTTTTTTTTTTTCAGACCTATATAATTCCTAGCGAAGAAAATATTGATTCGGATGTCTTTCGACATATGACTAATTTGGGGTGCTTCAAGGATAAAGAAAAATTGATCCGAGAACTATTGTGTCCAAGGGATTTCTATACAATATTTTTTTCATTATTATTTGCTTTTGATGTGGTCAAGAATTCTTATATGAAGCTCTTTTTAATATAACGAGTAAATTGGACTGTTGCAGGCATAACACGGAGAAAATGGTTTATTTCTTGTTATTAGATCGAAAAAGGCGTAGACCTGCACACGAGGATGAAACTGAAGTACTTTTTCTTGCAACTTTAGAATTATGTTTGCGTAGCAATTAATAATAATTTGATAATTTAAGTATTATTTAAAATAGCATAAAAATAGTGCAATTTTTAGGTAGTTCTCCGTGGTCCCAATCTTAATCATGATCCACCACGAAAACGTACCGATTCCTCGAGACCTTCTAGATATCCATTTGGTTCAATTAGTGAAGGATCTCCGATCAATCCTCGAAAAACATACGGGTAGTAAGATTAATCTGTTGCATTTTTATTCGATTTTTTAAAATTTCCTTTTCATTTTCTAAACTTCAAATTTCTGTCTTTTTACTTTATGTGAAAAAAAGAAAGATTTAAGGCGATACAGCCGAGGTAGACATTGCTCACTTGGTGGATCACCAAATGGTTCTGCACGCTCACCACCACTTGAATCGATCAGTAGTAGTATTGGCCCTCTAATGCCATCTTCACGACAAATCTGTAATGCTGCTTCACAAGTTGATGAACATGGAAGGCTTGTTTTAATCAAAATTTTGTGATAATTTTAAATCGTAAGCTAAATTTCAAGAGTTTGAGGACATTAAATTTTGAAAAGTTCTTATGAATGGTGGAATATTTAGAATTTCGGCGCGTGTTAGTAATTATCATTATTATACCCAACCAGTTGATCCAGAAGCATTAGCTGCTGCCGCAAGACGAGTGCGCACCAGTGTCGATGACAAGGTTTAACATTTATTCAAACTGTTCCTTGTAATATTTAATTGGACATCATGGACTTAAATTTAAAGGATTACATTTTTACCGATTTAATTTACTCTTGCAAACAAATTTCTATATTTGCTTCGTATACAAATATTTTACCAGTATTAATTAGTATCTTTATTAAATGAGAATGATTTACAGCATCTCCAAAGGAATCCTCGACATTCACATGCTAGTTCAAATATGATGCCGGAAGCAAGGATGAGTTCAAGTTCGAGTATGGGTTCTACAAACACATCCACAAACAGTCTAAGTACGAGCACAGTTTTTATTATCACAGTTCATTTCATAAAAGGTTCATTGTTTTCTACAGGTAGCACAATTAGTACATCAAGACCATGGCGACGGTTATCGAATATCAAAAATTCTCTGTTAGGAACACCACGATTTCATCGAAGAAAATTGAGTAGTGGAAGTAGCGGAACTGGAGAAAGTGATTCTGAAGAAAATCAAATGTTGGAATCCTCCGAGTAAGTGATTTTAACAAGATATACAGTTGTTATTATTGCTTTCACGTATATAAAATATTGCAAGGAGATAAGATAATGTATGTAATAATTGATGGACTTATCTTTCCAAATTTTTTTATATTTAATTTAGCAAATATTTGCTGAATTTAATCTTTTGATTAGAATTTTTGCCATTATTGCTTCCTGTTTGGAATATTTTTTGATAAGAGTGTTAACTTTTATTTTTTATTTAGTCTAGTGAAAAAATCATGGTTTGGATCGCTTGCATCAAGCGTAAGTGTTGAGCGGAATGATGTTCAAATAATACCGGCTCACGGGAAGACAGTAAATGCCATTAAAGCCGAACTTATACGTGCTTTTCTAACGGTTAGTGCACTAAATTTGAAAAAAAAATTTTCCAAAATCAATCATTGCTGCTTAGTGAAGAATCAATTTTAGCTTACATATTAAGAAAATTGGGAAGTCTTTTTTTCGTAGTCATACAATAATAAAGTATAAAGTATCCGCATCAAAGCAGAATTCTTACAAACTTAGTAATTAAATAAACTATGTTTAGTTTGATTTCAAATTTTGTTTTTAGATTCACGAGCTTAGTCATTCTGTTGTTGGTCAAAATTCATTTCGTGTTGAGTACAAGCGTGGGCCAACTGTTGGTGGTAGTGTTTTTTCGAGAGGTGTGAAAATGCAGGTATGTTGATTTTGATTTTCAGAAGTGCATATTTTGGAAAAACTGCTTAATTTTTTTAGTATTATTGTTTCTTAGGTAGATATTGTCCAAGCAGCTCACAGAACAGCGTCAGATGAAGAAACTCCAATGTATGTAGTCCAGTTTACACTTCTTGCTGGTCCAGTGAGACGATTCAGAAGACTTGTTGACCACCTCACAGCTATTTTGCAAGCATCCCAACAAAGGTAATTTCACTCATTTCTCTTTTTCTGATTTATAATAAATAAAACAGGATAATAATGATAAGAATACTCAAATATGTTAATCATTAGTGAATCAGTTCTTTTTGCAGAATTAATGTGCTACTATGGTGACTAATTCATCGTTACTTATAATATTTCAGGTCTGATAGAAGCATAGCACTGATGGTGCGTCCCAGGAGGCTTTCTGATTCGAGTGTTAGCAGCGCCTGTTCCGATTCAGATTCTAATACAGCTACAACGATTCCACATGTTAGAAGTCAGACTGCGGTATGATTTCATCGTTGTTCTTTAATCTTATTTTCAGGTTACGTTTAGTATTGCTTGAAATCTAACAATAACACTAATCAATTCAGGAAAGAGTTGAGACAAATTCTACACTTGACACATACACCTTACGCTCAGCAAGTGATATACGACATGCACAGTCATCCAACAACGATTTAACTTATCAAAGATCTCGAAGAAACATCTTAGCAGGTACTTCTTTGGTTTCAAATTGTTTTGTGGAATTTGTTGCTAATGATGTTTTACTTTTTCATTGTGTTTCTGTTTTGGTAACAGCATGAATGCTATACAGTCGGCATATTCTGTAATGTTGTGATTATACTTGTTCCATTTGCTTAGTAATAGGTACTTAAGGCAGATAGCTATTCAGTGCATGTGCAGCTACTTTAATTTATCAATGCTGTGGAGAAATTTATTTTCATGCTGCCATACTCCTTTAAATTTTCAAACACTCTGCGCAATGTGCAAGTTAAAAAGGCTTATCATTTTCCTTCTTTCCCCTCTTTTTTTTTGTTGTAGATGTGAATGATGTGGAAAGAGCAGCAGTTACTTTTAAACACTCCTGAATAAATTATCTGGTAGTGGATTTGCTTATTCAAAGATTTATAATAATTTTTAGACTTCGAATTATTAGCATAAGTAGCTGTACCTATAGACTATCAGTGTTAAAGCATCATTCGGATTTAAATTCGAATAGTGAAGTAGGGCGGTTTGCAAAAGACCAGTAATCTTATTTTAGCTTATTTGAAATCACCGGTGCCGCGCAGGCGAAATCCGTCGTTGGTATTGAATGAAAATGGAACCCACGTGATAACAGGATCGAGATCTACTAGTGCAAAAGCACGCAAAGGATCGTTGGGTGCAGGAGTTGCTGCTGCAGAAGAAGAGTCAACTCGGAACATACTAGCATGTAATGCTTCTGCTGATGAGCATTCACCTTCAAGGTGAGCGTACGAGCTTGCTTTTTCACCCTTCTTTGCTTTTGATCATTGCTTTCAATGTAAGGTTATTTAGTTTGGAAACTTCCCCAAGTTCGTAACCTATTACAAATTAGCGAATAATGTATTGAACGCAAATCACTTACAAATTTATCACTTCCTTATTTGTCGTATCAGTCAGCTTGGATTCATGTTATTTTGTTTTAGTACGCGTAACATCGAAAGCCGATCTCAGTCTGGTACACCCAAACAGTCGCTGACACCGTCATGTCGACAACGAACTTCGCAAATTCCTATTCTCAAGTCCGATAATCTTTGATATGCATATGTTTATTTGATTATCGTCTGTGCTCATTTGCTTAATGAAATTTATTTACTAACGTACATTTCGAATTCTTTCTGATCCTGTCGGGATCATGAAATGAGTCAATTTTCACTTTCAAGTATAGATCCGCTTTAATAAATAATTTTATTATTAAAATTATCAGATTATTTAGAGGAGAGAAATTTTCCGTAAAAAAATTTCGTAGGATGACGGTTTGTTTGGATGTTTTTTTCCAGTGATAATTTATGAAATGTATTTCGTTTACTGCAACCACTGCAAAATTATTTGCACACAATATGATTGTTGTCGAAATTGTTGCTGTGATGTCACCGTTGACCAATAGCATAATTATTTTTGATCAGAAGTAGTTTTTTATTTCAATTATTTATGTGTTGTCCAGTTTGAAATCCTTCTGCTATTTGCTAAATTTAAACAAAAAAAAAATTGTTTTGTTTTGTCGTCGTTGATTATTTCCTAGGAAACACTATTGATATTCACACATGTATCTCATATTAATACAATAAATAATTTTATCATAGTGCTGGGCCCTCTTTTCTTTCAGTTTAATTTCTATAAACTTTCATATTTAAAATATTGATAATATAATCCAGTAGTAAATTAATGTCAATGGCCAAAAGACTTAAACCATAGAATTCTTCTGGAAATCGAAGCTGTCAGTGTCTTACTGGTATTACACCACGAATAGAAAGTGTCCTACACTTTGCAGTCTCAGTCAAATACGAAGAATCAGAATGATTGTCCCACTGAATGTTATATATTCTAATATAAAAAAGCGGAATTCAATTAAGCAAGTATTAATGAAAAATTTTGACTTCAATGATTACTTAATCTTTTTGCTACACTATTATTCATTCTCGTAATCTGAGTTCTTTTTCATCTCAAATTAACAGCGGTTCGCAAATTATTGTTGAAATTTACTTTCTTTCAATACTTTTCATGATTCGTATAAATTAGAATATATTTTTCCATTAATCTGTATATCGATCTATCAGTATTCTTTTTCGATACGACAAGTTGATTTGAATTTAAATAAGATTAGTTCTTAAAAATACGAAACGGTTGTTTTCCGGATATTGATATTATCAAGTTCTCACAGAGTTTCAACTCTGACGCTCCTAAAAAATCAATACCATAACTCATTATATTTGAACAAACATAAATTGATGCGCATGATTGCAATGAAAGAGATTAACAGGACACAAAGCAAATTTCGAACATTATTTGGCATGAATTGTTTCTTTTGAAGCACTAATTGAAGCACTGAATTCATTTCATGAAAGTATGACAAATATGAAAATGTCGAAAGTTTGTTAATTTCAGTTCTTTTGGAGATTCGAGATGGCTCGTTTTTAACGCAACTTTATGATTATTGAACAATTAGTGCAATTTCGCCTTGATATGTTTAAATCTTAATGTCTTCATTAATAAGTACTGAAATAAGTGAAAAGAAATGTACCGACCGAGTAGTTTGTTAGCATTTAAAAAAGAAAAAAGACTGAGATCAGAAATCTTTAATTTGTTGGGATGTGATTTAATTGGATGTCTTCTCATCGTCAAATTGTTAACTTTATTTTATAACCTCAACTAATTTTTTGTTCTTATTTTTTCCAATCCCCCAAAATGAAGCACATTTTTTTCAGGGATGATCATTACATTTTTGTGAAAATATTAAATGTTTCGTAGTTCCCTGAATTTCTTTTTAATCGAATTAAATGAAAGGTTAGTTGTTATTACCAACGTGAAAAAAATAATGATTAAACTTATATAACTTTTTGGAAATTGCTGCACTTAGTGAATTTTTTTGCCTTTATTTATATATAAATGAGTCACAGACATCTTTTTTTGGGGTAAACTAAAACAAAGAAATTTTAAAGTGAAACAATAAATGACAGATCATCTCAAAAACTTCAATAAAATGAAGAAAAATAGCTGGAAGGATTTTGCAATACAAATGTCAATTCTCATAATGTTTACATACATGAAAGGAGAACTTTAATAGACTAACATTCGTGTTGTATTTGAATTTGGTTTTATTGAAAGTTTTACGGATATGATTGATTGTTGATGTAGCGGTGTTACAGTTTCTTCCTGTCTGTGTAAATTTCTAAGGCATTATATTTGTAAATAGAATTACAAGAAAGTTTTAAAGTCCCGTTCTTTTGTCACTAAAAAAATATTCCTCCGAAAAAATTGAAGCTTTAAATTGGTTTTCCAACTATCGCTCTAATTTGTATGTTTTGAAAAAATTGCTTACATTGAAAGTTTCACAGAAATGAAATTTATCACTATTGCAGTAATAACTGTAACAATGCATTTAGCAAAATAGTTGTGAGTAATTAATAAAGTATGACTATCATGTCATGAAAATTTAAGTATGATATTTTTAAACACTTTGAATTAAATCACCTGAATAAAATGCCTCCTCTGAAAACTATTTCATTTGTTAAAAGAAGGTGCTATTTTGCTAATTATCCCTCAAGAAATTTCTTTTTTTCTGTATTTCTTTTATAACTAATCTATTCTTCAAGACCCCTGTCCCAATTTATCATTTTCTCCTTTAACAAAATATTTTCCAACGACACTTTTATGTTTCAAAATGGAAAAGCTAGTTTAAAAAAATCAAATTTTTCGCATCTTAATTTCGGAGATAAAAAAATTAATGGTTATATAATGCAGTACATTCATGTTGTTCATCTAAGAGAGATTAATCATCTCAATGATGATTTAACCTAAAGATATGAAAATTTTAAATGAACGGAACTAACACACTAGCTATTTGAATCTTTACCAAACGCAAATAGAAGAAATCATTTAAAAATGACCCAATTAATTAGTTTGAGAGTGGAATTTTAAGAGTGACTATTATTTATCATTTTTTTTATACATCAAATTCCTTTTATTAACAAGCAGCGCACATTTTTGTACATTTT